GGGGGGGGGGGGGGGGGGGGGGGGGGGTACAACGACCCGCCTGTTATTGGTTGGAAACACGCAGAAACTGCTGTGGTGGCGAGAGTTGAACACAGCAGCACAACCGTCCTTCGGTAGGTCAACAGGAATCGAAAACGCACTGTGCGTGGGAGGGAAGGGGCTCTTTATGTTGCTGTTGATGTTGCTGTGTTGTCTGCCATAAGGTATGCACAGCAGCTCATCACAAACATCCGCAATCCCGTACGATTGATCTGATGATCAAGGTTTCAAATTTTCCACGTTTTCGCGTCGAGACAGAAAAAAATGTGCCAGGGGACCGTGAACGACGGGTGCAGCAGTATACAGGTATGGTAAGTATGACGCGTGTTACCCCCAAAATGGTGGTGTATACAGAGACTGCAGGACGCTCGCTCGGGAATATTGCATGAACTGTTCAACTTCGGGACACCACGGGCACACACGTATGCGACTCTTCCATAAGCCGCCTGGCAGCAGGAAGAGTCCGCAACAGTCCCTCCGTGGTGCCCAGCATCTCGATCCATTATACCCTTGCCTGCTTCCTTTCCTTGCCTAAAACCAACCGAGCAGACCCGCCAGCCGTCATTGTCGTTGTCGTTGTCGTGAGAAAGCCAGCTACACTTTCTGCCTTACCAAGACCCTGGGATTTTGCTTTCAACCACGTCGTCCATCATGCGGAATAAGCCTTCACATAAACAAACTAAATTAAATTGATCCGTGTGACGGCGGCAGCTAACGTCGAGGGTCGAGGGCATCACAACGTGCGGAAAACATGAAAAAAGAAAAAAAAACGAACTCCACCTCGTTGTCTTGAGAGAGATGACCGAACTGCGGTGGTAAATCGTACGTCTTTCCAGGCATGGCGGCCATTACAATCAGGAGCGTCTTCACGCCAACACAGCACGGTAGCAAGTCCGATGCCATCAAGCAAAGCCCCCCCACTTACCGCCTCGACATTCCAGCCCTCCTCATACTTGAGCTTCATCGAGTCCACCGACACCCTGCCGCCCAGCACCTCACGCCGGCCGCGGCTCCCCTTCGCGAACCCGAACCAGCCGCTACGTCCACGACGGCGGGGGGATCGCTCCCTCACCGGCTCTCTATCAGCCTCGCCGTAGTTGAGCCCCATGGCGGCCAGGTTCTCCTTGGGGATGTCTTTCCCTCGACGCCCCCAACCCATTCTCTTGCGTGGTTGGGCTGGAGCGGTGGAAAGGGTCAGGAGGATTGTTTAGATTGCATGGGTGCTGCTTCACATTTCAAGCGGCCGTCGATTCCAAGCTCCCACTACCACGACCACCGTGCTCAGCACTGCCCAAGGGCCTGTTACCGGCTGCATCACTCCACTCCTGTAGAGCTCGTTCCTTGTGGCGAAGTCGGCTTCTTCACTTGAGGCCGACAGCCCGCAAAACCAAAACAAATCGAGTACCGACACGCCCATCACAAAGCACGGAGTATTCCACACACCAGATTCAAAACAGCAGCGCGCCTACTGCTGTACAAGGACACGCCAGCCCATCGTAAAGCAGGTATTCCACACAAACAGCAGGGCGCATACCGCTGCACAACGCTAACACCCCCAAGGCTCACCATCGCCAGCCGCCGGCCCGCTGTCCGCACCGTACTCCTTCTGCGCCGCGTAGAACGCCTCTATCTCCCTCGGATCCAACCCACCCATCGCCGCCCCAGCCGCAGGGGCAGCCGGGCTCGAATGCGCCGCCCCCGATGACCCCAGCGGAGACGACGAATACCCTTCCGCGGACGGTGGCATCTGCCCTGGCAACGGGTTTGGCGGCGGGGGCGGCGGTGCAACTTCTTCGGGTATCGAAGACGGGGGTGCAACGCCACCACCACCACCACCACTACCGCTCCCAGCCGCGTCCCATGCCACCCCCTGACCTTGTCCACCTCCCTCGCCGTCTTGCAACTCCGGGGAGACGGGGGAGGGGACCGGGGGCGGCGGGGGGGGGTACGCAGCGGTCGCAAGCGGGGGCGCGGGGGGTGATACTCCACCAGCTTCGCCCGGGCCCTGCTGCTGCTGCTGCTGCGACAGCGGCTGGGCCGAAGAGGCTTGGGAGTTTGTCTGCCACGAACCTCCCTGGTTCACCTCGCCCGTTCCCTGTACATCCCCCCACTCTCCACCGCCCTGCCCATAACCAGAACCCCTGCCCCCGCTGTTCCAGCCTCCATCTCCACTGCCTCCCGGGGGGGCTCCGTACGATGAACCTCTCCCTTGAGGGTACCCCCTACCTCCGCGCCCCGGGCCGCGAGCCCCCGGAGGGTACCGCCCGCCCCCTCCCTGGCTGCGGCCGCCACCTCTGCCCCTGCCGCTACCGCGGCCACCGTTAACTGGGGTCGAGCAACAACACATGCCGGCAGCATCGATGAATGAGGTCAGGGGGAGAGTGGGGTGGCGCATTCGCCGAAGAGCTTAGCTCCCCAAGGCGAAATAAAGCGACACACAGCGTATACTGCCAAACTGCAGGGACAACTTTGTGTTACCATATTGAACGACAAGAAGATGGTGCTAAAGCACCCATAGCATCATTCCTTCATATGCACGCACAACACTCAGTACCCTTTTGACCGACCGATCACCTCGCTTCCGTCGGTTGTCGCTTTTCCGGCCGACGGAAAAGAGCTTCTTGAAGGTGCCCTTGGCCGCGGACACGCTCTCAGACCAGCGACCTCCCTCCACGGCAGTGACTCTCTCGGACATGAGGGACCCCTAGATGTTTCCGAGAAACAGGGGAACACCATGATTCCATGATTTGAGTAATTTCGGGACAAGAAGAGGTCAGGTCAGGGAAAGCCCCAAGACGTTACCTTCTAGCGACAACGACACGAAGGCAGGGTTTCACAAGATGGGTAGGCCTGTTGCTCCTTCCGTTGTCGTGCATGTTGCACACCCAAGGACAAGGTCAAGTCTGAGCACGAAGGGTCCCAGAGTTGGCGGTAGGAACAACAAAGAAACGACGCTTTCCAGGCATTTCTCAGGTTGGTCTGTAGCATTGAAGTTTTCGGGCATACTGTAGCCCATGCATGCAGGACGTATGTTTTCGGTACTGCTGTCACTAATCTCCAATCATCAAACCTGAACAGCACCCTAATTTTTTTCAGATGGTCAGACAGAACGGTGTTTGGAAGTGCTCACCCACTCGTCTCTCGCCCCACCACCTGGCCGCGCCGAGCCTCTCCCTCCAGTATGGCGGTAAGGCTGCTGTATTACCAGTAGCAAAGGCGACAGATCGCGCAAGGTGGCGGGACGGCAGAGAGCCAGCGGCGGCAATGGGGCGACGACCATCAAACTTCAACGTTAAACTTCCAAGCAATCAGAGGAGGACACGTGGGCAGCGCAGCACGTCGTCTTTGAACGAGGGTCACAGGCAAGTAACTTCCTGTCGTACGGTGTTGGAGCTCCAGCAACAGCGGTCGCATGCATCAAGCAAAATGCCGACCTCAAACCGAACCTTCGTGTTTACACACGCGTCCGCACCCCTCGAGCGTGAGATTCGATTGGCCAAACCGAGAAACACACAGCCGCGTCGTGTACCTCTTCCTCGGAGTCATCCCCCCACAACTGTGATGATGCAGCTGCCCTGTAGTCGTACCCCCCTTCTTCTGAGGTGTCATCGTCTCCCCGCCGACCATCCCCCCCCCCACCCCCACCCCCGTCCTCGCTTGACGCCCCCCCCGATAGCGCTCCGCCGAAGGCGCCGCCACCAGCCCCGAGCACGCTGGACAACGCCTGCGGGGGTCCTCCCGCCCCCCACTGCACCTGGGAGTCTGGGGATGTCGTGCGTAGAGTTTTACGGAGGTTATCTCATGGTTGGGTTGTTGGCTCGGAGGAGAGAGGGGGGAACGGAGATAGATCCTTTGCGAATTAGTGGGACAAACGCGACTGGGTTGATGCAGGCACACAGCTGTCCTGGGATCTATCTCCCCTTTCTGGAGGGTTTTGATCCAGGCATGCTGCACGCTCCCATACATTAATGATGTCCTCGTCGGGTTGGTTTGTGTTAGACTGTGCCGCTTGCCGCTTGAGGCCGTTCGTTCAGCGTGGTTGACTGCTGTGGGTTGTGGAGACATGTTTGGCAGCGAAGTAACGTGCGTGCTGTTCTAGGCCAGCAGGAGAGATGTGTGCGTCAGCACATTCCAAGCACTCAGTTGATGTTCGCTGACACTGGGGTATCTTGAGGTGCACCCAATGCACCTAATGCCCGAGAGAGAAGAGCGAGGGCTTCGCAGCTTCAAAGGAGTCAGTAACACCAGTATTGCATGCGGCGGAATCTCAACTCATGCCACAATTTATCAGGACACAGGTAGTAGTAGTTCCCGTTCCTGCGTATCGATGCCATTGGCACGTGTGAACTGCAACACGTGCACTCCCTCAGATAGAGCTGCCCATCACAGGTGGATGTGTGTCTTACAAGCGGATTTCTACAGCGACAAACGCTCATGATCATGACATGACATGAATCCCGCGGTTGTTTTGTTTTCTCTCAAAGTCTGTCTACCCTCTCACCTGCCGACACATACCCGGCTCTAGACCACTCCCCTAGCTGAGAAAGACCATACGGCCCCTGAGAAGAACCATCCGGCGCTCGCAGATACCAATTGGACCCTCCCCCTCCTCCTCCTCCCTGTGCTGTAACAGCTCCCGCTCGATCCAGGGAAGCAAAAGCTGCAAGAGCAACGGCTGCGAGCGACACGTGTAGATATGCGTACTTCATCTTGATACCTGTAGCCAGTTTAATAAGTCTTCTCTGGCGCGCTCATCCTTGCACCTCCGGTCCAGAGATTACTTTTCAGGGGCGCAAACTACAGCTGAAGAGTTGTTGAGCAATGTTGGAATCAAGCTACAAGTACAGCAGCAGTGAGATGGTACAGCAAGCGCAGCGCGCGCGCTGGCCCTTTGGGGGAGCCCGCGGTTGGGAACATACGCTACACTCTTCCATTCTGTATCCCACGATGCCCCCGGCCGCAACAAGCATTGTGACCAGAGCTGCCGCAGCGCATCTGTGTTACTAGAGCGCCGTTGTGAGGTGCAGAGACAAGGTGAGCTGGGAAGTGTGAGTTGGAACCCTATTCGGTCTAGGAGTCGCGAAGCTTCGAGAGCTGCTCTGCATAGAACTAAGAATTGCGAAAAACCACGTAGGCCGCTCTTGACCCCCCCCCGCCCGCACGGAAGGGGCGCGCCCTCCTACTACAGAGTGTGCCACCGCTTCGCGACGCTTGCGTGCCTCTCACTCACGCTGTCGCCGAGCACTGAAGTCACCCCGTGTGTGTGCAGAACATAGAGCGCTTTCCTTTAGTATCTGTTGTTGACTGGTTGCGCCAAACCAACGCTCTCAGATCCTGTGACATGATGTTTTCTCTCGTTGCAGGCCGGCGTCCTTCAACAGGTCACAGCTCACAGGCCCCTTGTGCTGGCATGAAAGCGGGCCATTAACTGATCTTGAACGGCCAAGCGGTACACGCCCTACACCTGACAGAATGCTTGCAACCGAGGAGCCAATGCTTTCGTGAAAACACCAAAAAAAAATTGTCCAATCCCACATGATCTTCGGTGCTCCGCTCGCTACACCCTCTGTGTCTGATGCAAGTCGTCATGAACATCAAAGTCACATGATCGACACAGCAGTATTTAACCCTGCCGTGACTCTTCCCCTACTGTTTTCCCCCGCACACACGGTGTTGTCAGTTCCAAAAATCTCTGGGTGCTTCTTGGCGAAGGTTCTGGGTCTCGCTGGCCTCGCACGAATGCCGCATGAGCGCAAAGGGCTCAAACGCCCGCTGCCCTGCAGGGACACAGCCTCAACGTCGGGCTGCTCGTCGCCATCACCTTGCGCCAGCGTTGCCTCGCGGCCTCGCGACGATGCCACTGTAGGCGCAGGCACGGAAGAACGGCCTCCACCGCGATGGTATAATCGATGCACACGCCGGCAGCAGCAGCAACAGCAGCAGCAGCAGCAGCAGCGGTGCCGCGGCCAACACGCGGCCGACAGGGTCTGCGGGTCTTGCCGACGAAAGAACAACACCTCCGCCGCCGCACCCAGCAGCCTTCGCCTCGCCGGAGTCGTCGGCATCCACGTGCTAGGCTTCATGGCCTGCCCCTGTCAAGGCTTCACACCGCCGAGCCTTAGCGCTGGCGGAACTCCCCCCCTGGCAGCGGACGGGCAGCAAAGTAGATTGAACACCCCCGACTTCGAAATGCGGTCGGGTGTTGTCGACGGTGACATCAGCGCCCGGGGATTGGTCCCGAGCTTGGGCGTGGGCGCCGCTGCAGGCCGTAGCCTGAGGGAAGCGAAGGGCCGGCGACGACATAGGGGGGGTAGCAGAAGATACGGGGGTGGGCTCCAGGGGGACGGTGATGCTTCCGGGGTTTGCCGCGCGACTCGACTGCCAAGCGCGGAGGAAGGCCCGCCGATCGGCCTGCTGTACGACAGGGGGCTGTTGGAGGCAAGCGCTGCTGCCCAGGGGGCTGACACCAGCAGCAGCAGCAACAACAACAGCAGATCTCGAGACGGTGTCGACATTGTCAACGGCGGCGGTGACGATAACGGCGGCAAGGCAGTGGCAGCGGCGAAGGGAAGTGCGATGGGGACGGGCGGGATAGGAGGCGAAGAGGGAGGCGGGTCTGCTGCTCCTGCTGCGTCTGCCCCCCCTGTGGCTCCCGCGGTGGAGATGGTCCGTGTTGAGTCCACGGCCTTGCAGGCAGAGAGCAGTATCGCCCAAGACGTGACGGACACGCAATGGGGGAATGCCGTCGTTGGAACGGGAGCGACGTCGGCGGCAGCTGCTGCAGAAGCAGCCGCAGCGGAAGCAGCAGCTGGTGGGTTGTCTAGGGGCGAGGTCGCAGCGCCAGCCCCGCCTTCCAGGCGCAAGAAGTGGTCGGGAAAAGGGTGGCTGGTTTCGAGGGCAAAGGAAGAAGCGGAGGGAAGGGCGAAATCACAGAACCGAGCGGCGGGGACGGACGCGGGGCTATCGTCCATGGCAGTGGACGACGACGAGGGGACTTCGATGATGCCAACCGTGGCTGCGGTGGAAACCGGTCTTGAGGCTGGTCTGATTGACACAGACCTCGTCAACGGTAAGGATGGGGAGAGGGCGGAGGTTGATACGGGGAACAATCTTGCCGTAGCTGGGGCGAACCCTAGCGATCGGAGTGATGACAGCGACAACGGTAGTAGTAGGGCGGTTGTAGTGGAGCCACCAGCGTCGTCTACTACCTCTGCTGCTACAGCTGCTGCTGCTGCTGCTGCTGCTGCTGCGACGAGTCTGCCATATGTGGATGGGAGAAGGGAGGGGGAGGGCGCAACGTCACTAGCGAACGCTGCTGCTGCTGCTGCTGCTGCTGCTGCTGCTGCTGCTGTGGACGGGGACTTAGTGCCGAGCGGGGGCACCGAGTCGCCGCTTGCCGATGAGGAGGAGGACACGTCAACGGAGTTGGAGGACACTGGAGGAGGCGTTTGTGCTACGGTGAAAGAGGAGCTGGCCCTCTACCTTCTCGAGGCGGGCGTGACCGACGATCTGGTGGCGATAGCGACCGCGGCGCTGTTTGCCGCCGAGCCGCGCTGTTCGCTGACGGAGGGGACGTGGAAGCGATGGCGGCAGAACTTGGACGGGTTGAGATCGAAGGGATTTTCAGGTGGGTGAAGCATGCGAGTTCGCACGGGAATGTCGGTCCACACCAAGAGTAGCAGGGGCTTGCTTGGGTGCAATTGCTTATTTTTGTTTTGTTTTCGCCGCGGAGGACCGGCGGCCTACGTCCAAGGTTCCCGTTGCTGTTGTTGTTGTGACTCCGCACGAGTAGTTTGTAGCCGAATCGTTTCGTGCTCCGTAAAATTTCCTGGTTCTTGTGTTGGTGTTGGCTTTGCTGCTGGTGTTGGTTTTGGTATTGATCTTGACGTTGGCGTGATGTGTCTGTTGTAACCGAATTGTCTAACGCCGGTCAACCTTGCTGCTTTTAGTGTTGGCGTTGCTGCTGCTGCTGCTGCTGCGGCTGGTTTTGATAGTGGCTTGTTGTTTTTTGCGGTAGGGTTAGTCAAACCGGGGTCCTTAGGCACGTCGTTTCGGTGATGGCGTATGCATACATTCCTTGGTAAGTCGGACAACAGAACTGCTGCATGCCTACATGGCCATGAGTATTTGATGTGGGGTTCATGTTCGTTCCGCTTCTTGCGCTTAAATCGCGCCATTCCTCCCCCTTGCCTTGTGTGATGGTTTGGTTGGTGCTACGGCATGCGATGATACGTCGCTCTCCAGGGACTGACGTGTGCAACATGCTGGCGTTGTGCCCGCAGCTGCTGGCGCTGGATTTCGAGGGTCAGGTGAGAATGAGGATGAGAACGCGAATGCCATGGTAGCACAAGACCTTGGGGCATAAGCAACCCACTCACCGTACCCCTTGCCGTAGTTCAGATTCGCCACGATTTGGTCTCAAAGGCCAATCAATATGCACGATTGCCGTGTATTGCCGTGTTCCGATCTGGCCGGCTCACCACGGTCCTCTCGAAGCTGTTTAATGCTCGTTTGGTCGGTCTTGAAGCTCACGCCGTTCTTGAATGCTTGATCTGTTCTTACTAAACAGGTGGTGCCAACGATGGAGCTGCTACGGCAGCTGGGAATGCGGCCAACGGATGTGCGTCGCGTCATCAGGAAGGCACCGGAGGTGTTGGCTCCACGGCCGGATGGGAGCACGGCTGCGGAAGCTGTAGACGTGAGTACAGGCGCGCGCGCGGGAGGGGGGGGGCGATGAGCAGGGCCGGTTGGGTTGTGCCGGTGAAATCGTTTGTATAGGTGTTGCCATCAGGTGGGTTGGTGCCCTGAATAGTGTCCGTACGCTTTGGTAGTGTTGGTGTACGGGATCATCCGTTTACAGCAGTCCCGGCACTATTGACGGCCCTCGACTGCTGTACCGTACCGTACCGCAGAATCGGACTCGGTTGTGGTACCTCCCAGGACGGGGGCAGGACGGCGGTGACGGTCGGTTTTTGCACAAGTTGGTTGTAGAGACGGCAGTGAGAGAAAACGCTGTTGGGAATATGTCAAAGAGTTTTCTAAGTCGTGGTACAGGGCGAGGCAAGTATGACTGGGGTCATTGACTCCGGCGTTTTTGTTGGGAATGTTGTACATGCATAGTGCTGTAATGTTAGTGTTGTCTCTTATCCTGTGCGATGTACACCTGACCCTAGATACAGTAGGTGTCCATAGGTTGCATTGTATATGTACACGTATTCGTTCGTCTTGACACATGTTGAAGGGTGTGGAACGGCACACCGTTGTGCACCTTTGGACAGCAGTACATGCCATCACGGGCCATTGACTCTCTTTTCATCGATCTGGGCTCGAACGTGCGAATGCGGCAGTATACAACAACGTTCAAGTCGCAAGGTCCGGAATGCGGCTCAATGATCACTCGTGTGTTTGGTGCATGTGTGTGTTTCGTACTGCCTCTCGTTTGCTGGTTCCTCGTGCATGAACCAGTGCCAGTTGTAGTGACGTCTGCATCATGTTTAGTTCAGTACCACCAAGTTTTCTTCCATCTCTACTCAACAACTCTCATGTGTTTTCAACTGTTGCGCTCCCAAGTCTGTTGTTTCGTCTTTGTGCAACATTCGTGTATGTAGCTCATACGTTGGTGCTGTGCAACAAACAAACCTTGGATGTAAGACTGTAAACAAATGTGTACTTTCTTCTTTTTGGTTCGTTAAGGTTCGCTGGGCTCTTCGAGCCAACAAAGCACATGAGCTGTATGGGCTGTTGAAGCTTGGGAAACGTCACTGGTGGAAGCTTGCAAGTTGATTCTCACCAACCGAACGCTGTACTTCCATCTTGCATCGCGCCTTGATGACAGGACTACGGTGCTCTGATGAGCCAGCCCACTCAGGATGCGCGCCTCGTAAAGCCTCTCATTTTTCTGCAACATGTCTCATGTTGCGACAATCCCGCCACATTCCATGATTGGTTGCAGGTGCTTCGCACGCTAGGGCTCCGAAGGCGGCATTTGAAGATGGAGGCTATGCGATGGCCGCAGCTGCTGGCGGTACCCCCCGGAAGTTTCTTCCAGCTGGCTGCGTTTCTCGCGTCCGAAGAGGTACCTGTAGCTCGAGCTGCGAACGATTATGGTTCGGGGGCAACCAACGGACCGTTTTGCTCGAAGTGTTTTAGGCAGTTTTTTGTACATATCGACCGCTTGTTGTAGTTTGCGCCGTTCGATCCATGTCGCGATAACACCTCAAGTCGGCATAATTTTTGGAGGGCTCCCTGTCTGCACTCAAACTGGTGTAACAGTTGTTGCATTTATGCATGAGAATTCATAAAGTGATAGAGAGAAGCTGGCATCGAAAAACAAGGCGTGAGAGTGAGAGTATGACCCACCCCTGTCTTGACTTTGTTTCTTTTCTTTCTATTTTTGCAAGGAATTGTCTCTGTGGTAACTTGCATTCTCTATACTAGCCGTGACCACGGTTGGCGTCTGTACCGCCGGTCCAAACCAAAAATTGGCAGAGGTATGCTGGGACGAAGAGGCAAGAACACATGGTGTAAGGGTTTTAAAACCGTTACCCGAACCATATGACACAAGTGATGACACCATGGCTACCGCCGCCAACAAAGACAACGACAACACTGTACCATGATTCGGAAGATGGCCATGCAATCCTTAACAAGCCTAAGATTCACGTGCCACCATCGCTATTACCGTACGACCGTCAACACACAACGACACCGACAACACTTCTGTACCATATGCTATGGAAGGTGGACATCAAAACCCTACCACCGCACTATCGCTACTTCCACCACCAACACCGACATGGACAACTCCTGTACCCTGTTGTTTTCCGGCGTTGCAACGAAAGGTGGGCATCAAGTCCACGAACATCGGCTCTCTCATCCGGCAAGCCCCCTGGCTGGTCTTGCAGCCCATCGACGGCCAGATGCTGCCGGTAGTGAGGTTTTTGCGGATAGCGGGGGTGGTGGACGTGGAGAGGGTGCTCAGGGCCTACCCGAAGGTGCTCTGCGCCAGCATCAGGGGCGAGCTGGCTCCGAGAGTGAGTGAGGGAGTGCATTTGACCAATCCATCCATTCTAATCAAGATGTTGGTGTGTTGATGTAACTCTTGTTTTTGGTGTTCGGTCCAAAGAACTGCCGGTTGGCGTGACTGTATGTTTTGCTTGTTGTTCGTCATTGGCGACGATATTCCCGCTCGTGGGAAAACAGGCGAATCGACCTTGTTTCTTGTGTACTGTATTCCGAGTCTGGCGTCTGGCAGCTACACTGCTGTATCTATGTATGAATAGTGTGGAAGAAAGTGTTGGAGGTGTATCCTTTTGTATCCTTGAACAAGTGTGGTATCTCTGGGCTCTATTGCTACGTTGTAGCACAAGGACTATAATAGGGCAAGACCACGTAGGACGCGACCCATCTGGGAACCAATCATGCACAAAGGGATGCGCGGTGCAACAGCAGCAAATGCGACACCATCAACAACTACACCAACAACAAATGTCTTGCCCCCTTTATAGCCCGCCCACGTTCCTTGCGGTGATTGCGTCGCTTGGCTATTTAGGCAGCTCTTCTTTTCAAACGTATTTTCTATTGAAAAAATTATTTTAACATGGAACTTGTCGTAAATTGTTCTGCTTTTTGTTCCAGGTTCGGTTTTTGTGGTCAGACGTAGGCGTCTCTGAGGAAGACCTGCCGCGAGTGCTGCAGACCTTCCCCCTGGTCTTCGCCCTACCGCTGTCACGCATGAAAGACGTCATGGCGTTCCTGTCTGAAGACCTGAGCATCGGCAGAAACGACATCGCCAAGATCATCAGGTGCGCTGGTCCGGATACATGACTGTTCTGCTACTGCTGTTGGGTTGTTCGTGGTTCAGCAGGTTGACACGGTCGATGCCCACACTAGAACCTTCGGTTTTTTCAACCACAAACTAGGGTCAAGTGGTGCAGCCTTCCCCCTTGCGTTGACATCACCGCTATCCGTTGCCGTTGCCTACCCTCCGGGCCCACGATACTTTACCACAACACCAGGGCGTTCCCCTCGTTGCTCGGTCTTGAGAGAGAGAGACACATGGCCGGGGTTGTCCGCTACCTCAAGCGGCTGGGGGTCCAGAACGTCGGGCGTTTCGTCTCGAGGCTACCCCCCGTATTGGGGTACGACGTCGAAACCAACCTCGCCCCAAAGGTGAGAAGAACCGCGGGATGCCTGCCAGACCCATATCCTGCGTTATTTTGTGGTACGGTCCTCCCCCAAGGTGAGAGAAACCGCGGGATACCGTGCCCCGTAATTTTTTCCCACGCATTTTTTGTGGTACGATCCGTGTGGCCGTGTTTGTGGATGTGGTACTTCTGTATTTTGTGGTACGTAGCGGTTGTTTCTACAATATAATACATGGGACCGTTGCGAAGGTCCTCATAGCTTGTGGTCTTGTGGAACCATTGACTGTCTGGGATGGCATCCACGTGTCTATGCCCTTCCTCTACCCTCTTTCTGTTCCTTTTTGATGCAAAACTGCTGTTCCGAGTCTCGATTGATTGATTGGTTGATGAACGCGCGCTCTCGGTGCGGTTGCAACAAAAATTCCAATGCCACTGCAGCGGTGTTTCGGGTGTTTCTTTTTTATTTTGGCGGCTTTTTTGGTAAGTAAGGGACTAGACATTATGTGTTTGCCACCGTCTGACTGGGTTTATCCCGCAGTATGTATCGTGAACGACGCTTTCTGACTAGACTTGCGGCAAATATGGAATTGCGCTTGTTTACCTCTTTTTTCGTGTTCTTTTTCTGCTTCCCACGAAAGCCGTAGAGCTGCTTGTGTTTCTCATTGTGATACCCTTGTTTTCCCCTTGTTTTGTATCAATCAACCGTGTCACCGCCTTCGTCCTGTTTGATGGTACGGTTTTTTACCAGATGGACTACCTGGTGGAGAAGATGGGCCTTAGCGTGTACGACGTGCTGACTTTTCCAGCGTACTTCTCGTATCCTCTCGACACCGTCATCGAACCGAGAACAGAGTTTCTCGCCATCAGGTGAGCGAGACCCAACAAGAAACAACAAGCCCCCTCTTTTCTGCATGTGTGGAAACCTGATTGATATACCTGGTACAGCACCTGGTACTTCCGGATTGTTGTTGGATGTTCGCCTCTGCTGTCATTAGTTTGCTGTCGTTGACTTCGTTGATTGATAGCATGCCTGCACTTTCTCCGGTGATTGTCACCGCCCAAGTATCCCCGTTGTGCGCCCGTAACATGTGGAACACACGCACCGGTCGTCTATGGTGTCATGTCTTGATTAGAGGGTGGACCATGCAGAAGCACGCACACTCGCCGAGAATGACGTTTGTTGTTGTGATGTCCTCGTCTGCCTCACGCCCGTTTCTTGTGCCTTGTGTAGCATCCTCCGACTTGCAACTTCATGTTCCCTCTCCTATTTGTGTTTAGCCTCTTTGCCCATACTTATCGTGCACTTCATCATGGTGCCCTTTTTCTCACCCTCCGTCTCTCGATCTGAGCCGCTATTCTCCTTTGCTCTCTTTTTATTGTTATTTTTGCAGAGGCCGTCCCATCACGCTTGTGGGCCTTAACATCGCTCTGCATCAAGGAGATGCTGACTTCGCTCGCAAGGTGGCCAGAGTGCAGCCACGAGTATACCAAGATTTCAAGAAGGCCTACATCAACAAGAGGTGAAGAGACGTTATTGGGTTGCGTGTCTCGGCGCGTACCGTGATGTGGTGTGTGGGATCATGTTTGGCCATGGATTTATGGCAGTGGTTTGAGATTTTTCTCTGCCTGGTTGTTGTATGTAGGCTCTATTGGCTTACTATTTTGTCTTTCTTGTCATGGTCGTTGTAGTATATATGGTAGTGTTTGGGCGTATGATTCCATCATCAAAGACAAGCACGAATCAAGAGGTTGAGACTGCAGCGGAGCCCTCGTAGATACTGTATGCATGTGGGTTGTGCTTGCGTCAACACCACGTTTTCCGTGAAAAAATTCCGTCTTCTCTTCCGAGGGGCGCGACGTTGGATTGAGGGATTGAGGGATTGAGGGATTGAGGCTTCAACACAACCTGTCGGCCTGCCTATCTGTCTTTTTGTCTGTCTGTCTATCTATCTGTCTGCCTGTCTGTCTCTGTCTGTCTGTCTGTCTGTCTGTCTGTCTGTCTGTCTGTCTGTCTGTCTGTCTGTCTGTCTGTCTGTCTCTCTCTCTATCTGTCTGTTTGTCTCTTGTCTGTCTGTCTGTCTGTCTGTCTATCTGTCTGTCTGTCTGTCTGTCTGTCTGTCGATCCATGGCCCGTCGGCAGGTGGTGAATATTAGCGTACACAGATAGAATAGTTGCACGCCGAAAAAAACGAAATACGATTTACAGAACGCAACCACCGAACGCCTTGGAAATATCTTCGAACAGGGCGGCGGTGAAGAATGGTCTGGTGGATGCTAAACAGTTGCTGTCCGGACCGCAGCGCAGGGCGATCGGCTCGTTGGAGGGCCTGTCGACCAGCAACAACCTTTCGGTGGGTGTGCTCGTGAAAAACTCTCTCGCGTGACATGCATGATTTCGGCCGACTGCACTACTTCTGTATCGTACGTAATTCCTCGCTTTTTTGTTATCCGAATAGACTGTGCCGAGCCAACTTCAGAATTGTTTTCAGTTTTGTCATGAGCAAAAGAGAACGAGCTGCCTGGTTCACTTTGTGCATGGAGCGAAGACCGTTTGGGCCTTCCACAGCTTAGGCTAATATCATTTTGGTGCGGAGTACGTACAACCTACAGGGCAACCAGAACTAATCTGTCTGTTTGAAGAACGAATACTCACCTTCGACTTACATCGTGTACGGCACGGGCAGTGGAAAGTGTAAGCCGGGAAAGGACTGACAGAGCCAGACTGGCGTTGCGACAACCGAGATCATTCTCAAGCTCAAGTGCTGTTTGTCAACTTTGGTGTTGATGTCTCGCGATTTTACGCGCAGTCACCTTCCCGAATTCTGACCCCAGCCCAGGTACGTCGAACTAAAAGATACCTTCGATTTATTGGCGGATTTACGTTTCAGGTGACGGCCAGAGCAACTGGCCTACCACTCAATAAGCAACCTCCACCTCGACAGAACCAACCAGCACAACGACAACGACAACGACAACGACAAGAGCAACGCGAGAAGGACTGGAAGTGACTAACATGACGTGACACGATCGGGCGGGTACTGTCCAGCAGCCAGCGAGAGGCACGGCGGCTTGGACCACAACATCCTTCCTTGCCTTTCCCATCTGACACCACCCATTCCTTCCGGAGACGAGTTTTTGTCGGCATTGGCGACCCCCCCCCCCCTTCAAGGAATCGCGTCAAGGGGCGAGAGGCGGCACATGCTGTCGACGAGGGCGTTGTTTAGGAAGATCTGGTCTTAGGAATCAGATGTGATGAATAGGTTGAGTTGGGCTTGGGACGTCTTTGCTTCGCGATTGCAGTGCACGGTCGCACCTGTGGTTATGAAGTGCCTGCTTGTCGTGGAGACTCGATAAAATGACGTCGCAGACCGATGCGGTGCGTGGACATAGAGAACAAGGGCCGGCCGGGCCACGAGCGAGGTTTTGCTGCGTGTTTCGGGCGTCTGGGAACAGAGAAAACGTCCTGTGTGCATATTGATTTTTCGGGTACATAGCCCTGCGTGGTAGAGGGGTGGGGGCGTTTGGTGCAAAATCGGTGACGGCTGTGATGATAAACCTGCAGCGTGGAGCGTGATGACAGTGAACGATTTCCTGTGGTTCATTTCATGTTTGTAGTTTGCGTACGGGTGTGTCGAGCATAAGTACGTTTCGGATTGTTTTGTGACGTGCTCAAGGGTACCGACAATGGTCTTGCTGCGGAGCGCCGGCCGCGTGCTTGCGTGCGTGTTATTCGCGTGTTATTAGATGGCGAGGGAAGGCACTTCTGAATTTTTGTGACAAACGGCATACCGTCCCGTGGTGTTCCTCTTGGTACGGGTTGATGGTGTGTCGAGTGTGCTTCGGTGTCCGCTTGAACTCGTAACATATTGCAATTTTTTTCTATTGTTGTTCCTGAATCCACGAGTGGTCGACAACAGAAGCCAGAAGCTCACATTCGTTTTGTTCTTCGGGCTCGTGCGGGTGGCGTTGGGAAGCGGGCTTGTAGGACACCCCCATAGGACACCCCCACAGTAATCTTCGAAGGCTGCGTCGTTTCGTTGTGACATCGATTGCACACTTGGTCACGGTTCGACGACTCTCCCGGCGATATGAATGATAAGGCTAGGATATCCAGCCTTGTCGCCGAGAAGACACTCGATTTTGCCTCGCCTAGCGGCAGAATACTGTAGTCTGCTGAAAGATCATATGCCGTTGAAACCGCCCAAGTGCCGGTCGAGGTGGCCTCCCTTCGCCGTGCCTTGCTTGTAACTGCACTTGGCTTGCAATTTGTTTACGAAGAAACCGCGAGGCGAGTCGAGAAAGTTCCTCCGCCTTCGTGAACCACGAAACGCCCAGTACCTCGAGGAGGACTTAGGCGGGCTCCGACCGCCTTTCGCCATTGCTCGTGAGTCGAGCCACTCTGCAATCGAACATCGACCAAGGTGCTCTCTCGACATGAATTGCTAGCCCGCGGACGCGAGTGGAACCTTGCCGCCCTTTGAACGCGCCCAAATCCAGGTGTCCTGACGTTGGGCTTATCTCCCCCCGACTTGGGTGCAACCACAGGACGTGACTGGCCAGCTCTCCCTACCCGGCGACTCTTCTATACCTCTTTTTGCTCGATGAGAGTTGTAGTTGTTACACTTGCGGTCGAGGCTCAATTTCTTATCTCGTGGAAGGTACCACAGTCGAGCAATCATACTTGTAGGGTTAGTCGTTTCATAGAACTCCGTGAAGGATCCACGGCTGAAGTGTGCTTTTTGGTCGAATTTTCTTGTTCTTCGACAACGGCCCAGCCCCATTTCCTTAAACTAATACGTTTTTCTTACTTGCGGGCCGCAACTGTGCAGCTCCGGGGCCCCGAGACCCTGGTGGCTCATCAGTTTCTCGACGTCAAAACTCTCCCGCTTTTCGCATGCGGAAAGTTTCGTGGGGCGGTCGGATCGGCATTTGCGCCGGGGGGATCCGTTGGTAGCCACGCTGTGAGGTCAACTGGGAATCTCCGTCCTTCCCCTCCTCCCTGGGCTCCTCAAGAGGGTAAGACTTGTCCGCGTCGAAGCCACTCAAGTCTCCGCAGGCCACGAACGGCACGATGAGGTTGGCGGGGCCCAGCCTGAAAGGTTCATCAAGGAGAGGGGGGGGGGGGGGCGTACTCTTTATGTTTTTCATACCTTAACGGTTGGACCATTGACCACGCGTCCCCCAAAGGACGGGGGGGGGGGGGGGGGGGGATCGAATCAACGAAGG